TAATATTGCTCTGTTTTCTGTGAAGTTTTCTTAGTGTCGCAAAAATTTACAATAACATCGCATAGAAAAAAAAATCAATAAACACTAGTATGGTATCATCAAGATATAAAACACTGTTTTGTTGTTTCTGTGTCAATTACATATTTGAAAAAAATTGCAGGCATTTTTGCTAAACCATTTGTACACTTTACATTTTTAGAATTATTTAGCTACCCACAAAATTCTTTCCTATATATTTTTTTAACACATACACTTGTAACACGGGAGTTATTAGCGAAATTGTGTTGGCATTCGCATGATAGGACAAATCGATTACGAACAAACCATTAATTATGTTAGAAACGAAAGTGAATGTCCTGCAATTTCTCCAAAAAAAGTGTTATGTGTATTACACATCAGCATTGCAAGGTTTACTTTTTTCGCACACACCGGATACTGAACGTACGAATATTAACTTTCGATTAATTTTTTTGCATAGATTAATTAATTCATGAACTCCTACAACATATAACGTGCAGCTGAAAGTAAAGGTCGCTGTAACCATAAGCGATTCTGTGTCGTAATTTAACGGTAGGAGTTCCTGACGAGTATTAATTGAGTTAGACAAATTAATGTGAGAGTGATCAAAAAGAGAAATTGAATCTCTTGACTGTCAGTGTCAAAGTTAAGGTCGCCTTATAAGGAGTTTTATTGCGCATGAAAGCAATAAAACAGTGTTAATGGTATCCATTAAATTATACTTTTTACTGAAACGACTATTACTTTCGAATATTTAGTTCTGTCTTTCAGAAAAAATTACGCTTATAAAACGATGGCCACAATTCACGAAAATTATTCGAGTGGTCCGGAAGTTAAATAAGTATACCGCCACTGCCGCTTACAGTCAAATTTATTTCTTTCTGGTGAATATAAGAATTTTACCCATAGAGCTAGAATAGTTGACAATTTATTATCCAGTTATATGTAATTTTTTAATAAAGTGATTAAAAAAGTATACAATCGAAAATGATGTAGTGTTACTATTTGGTAATGTCTTTTTTTACAAAGTAAATGCCATTTGCTTAAATTTACATTTTATCTTTTAAAAGCTAAATAAATATTTAATGTAAAGAAAGTTCTGTTACGGTTATTGCTCTTAAATTTTCAGTAAAGTAAGTGCTTAAATACTGCAAAATGAATGACTGACTTATGCGGTGCTCTGTAGTCTGCACAAGTTTTATATTTAGTGCATATCACGCACACCATATAAAAGTATGAAAAATCTAGAAAGCTCCACATTAATCTTCAAAAATAAATCTATAATTTATATATATGAAATTTTAGGAAAAATTAACGATAAATCTAATTTTCAGCTCTGTAATTTAAGACTTCAAATTGTTTTCAGACGGTTTTTAGACCATGTGAATAAGTTTTGTGCAATACTATTGAGTACAGGAGTGGACTCAACGCACACCCGTTTGTAAATTTTTTGCCGGCTTGGCTGACTAGAAATATTAGGTCTTGGTGCTTCTTCCCCTTCTGAACAGACATTGAGTGTTTTCTATTCTGGTTTCAATTTTTTCTCTTATCCTTTTTTCATTATTCTCGCCTGGATTTTTCCAGGACCATTTGAACTGTGATACCCCTATAATTATTGCACTCTCTCTGATCCCCTTTTTATATATTGATGATATTATCTCTGACCTCCAATCTTTTCATGTCTCATTCATTACTAGTAGCTTGGTTAATTGTTCTATTTCTTTTTCTCCCATACATTTTTTAATTTCAGATGTTATATTATGTCTCCAATGTGCTTTTCAAAATTGTATCTTCCGTATGGTTTCTGAAAATTCTTCTTGTTGTATTGTTTCTATTTCCTGTAATTCATTTTGCTCTCATGTTCCTCCTCTTCATGTAAATCATCCTCCGTCAATTCTTTGAAATGTTGTTGCCATCTGTCCATTATTTTCTCTTCATCTGTGATTTTTTTTCCATTCCTGCCTTTTATGTTAGTCATATTATTTTCCTTCTTCTGTTTTAGCTGCTTAAGAGTTTTTTTTCTCTGTAATTTTGGGTCATCTTTTCCCCGAATGTTATCCATGATTTTTGTTTTGCTTTCTTTACTGTCTTCTTAACATTTTTACATTTTTCTTTAAATGCCTCAGTCTTTTTACAACTAAGTACTTACCTTTTGGTCTTTCTTGTTAGATCCAACAACCTATTTTTTAATTCGTTCCATTTTTCTTCTATTTCAAATCTTTCTGGTGCCTTTAATTTTGCATTTAGTATGTCTGTTTCATTCTGTCTTCTTTTTCCTACTTTTTCATTCTTTATCTTCGTCATTATCCATTTTCCTATTTCCATTGTTCGTGACTTTTACACTTCTTTTTATAATTAGCAAATAATTTATTATTGGTTTTATTTTTACTAGTTACTTCTCTCGTATACTCTTTGTGTTTGAATTTAGTATTGCTTATTTTTAAATCTTTTGCCAGACAAATTTCAATAATACTTTCTCCGTTGTTGTTCTTCGTTTTTTCTCCTTTTCTTCCCAAAAAATTCTTCTCTAATTGTGTTATGGTTTGCTTCTCTGCCATTTAAATCTCCCATTATTATCATATTTTCCTCTTCGTCATTTATTTCTTTTTACAGTTCGGCATAGAATTTCTTTACTTTTTATTGCATTTTAGTTTTCTCCACAAAATATTTATTATCATTGTTCACTGTTCTTCGTAAAATATCTTCACTTCTATCTTTAATATTCTTGTATTTGTATGGTCTTCTTTAACTTATCTGGTATTAATCCTACCCTTTCTTTCGTGTAGGAAGTATCCTTTATCTAATTTAATTTTTTAATTTTTTGCTTCCGTAATTGATAGTACCTCCACTTTATATTTTACCATTTCCTTTTATAATTCGTATACTTATTACAAGTTCCTACATTTAATGTATTTCCTTTATTCACGTTTTGAGTTTGTATTGCATTCTTTATTATGTTTATTATTCTTTATTTTGTTACTGGTTTTGTTCATTTCATTACTCATATCCATTTTATTCGATCGGTTCGTCCTATTTCTGTTTGCCTTACTATTGCTTTTTAGTTTTTTTGTTTCCTTATCCATTCCTTTCCATCTATGACAATTTTTTTATATTTCATTTTACTTGCTCTTTTCCTAGATCGGTACTTATCTTACTTTTTGTTGTATTTCTAACTCCTTTTTTGTTAATTCTTTATTGACATATATATCGTTTCGTCCATTATCTTTAGTTTAGTTCCTAACTTAATTATATAGATTATGTTGTCTTATTCTATCTTTGTCTGTGCTGAGTTCACTCTCTCCTATTGATTTTATTTATTTATTTATTTATTTATTTATTTATTTATTTATTTATTTATTTATTTATTTATTTATTTATTTATTTATTTATTTATTTATTTATTTATTTATTTATTTATTTATTTATTTATTTATTTATTTATTTATTTATTTATTTATTTATTTATTTATTTATTTATTTAACTTATTTTGAAATAAATATCATTCTGCGTGCGTTTATTCTCGTCTTTTAGTTGCTTGTTTTCTCCTTCACTACAGTAGTATTGGACGAAACAATATAGAAAACCAAGAAAACAATGAAAAACTGAAAAGTTGAAGAGTGAACCAATATTTCACATGACGGTAATAACAAAAACATCAGAAGATCTATAAAATAATTAAAAAATATTAGACAGAAAGATATTAAAAATAATAAATGAAGATAAACTAAACGAAAAAAAAACAAATCTCGGGGGGAAAATGCCTAACACGGAAAAGTAATAAAACAAGTGCAAAGTTACAAATATTTGAGAAGAATAATACAAAGTTACGAAAAAATAAATCAAGAAATAAATGAAAGAGAGAAGAAAATAGGAAAAATAAAGTAAGAACAACATTTCTCAGAAAAAAAGAAATAGTAGAAAAAGTTGTAAGTTGTATTGAATTAACTAAAAAAATTAACATGGCGCCTGTGCAAAGGAAGAAAAATGAAGACCAAGATAAAAATGGAACGTTTGTGTTAAAGAAGAAATTAAAAACAAGATTCAGGTTAGAAAGCATTGGAATGAAAGATGCAGGAACACTTAAAGCCCGTTACAATTAACAGTAGAAAGGCATAGGATTAAGAAAAAAAGAGTTTGGAACACTTTTTAGTATCTATCCAGAAGAAGTGGTAACCTCATATTCTGTCGACCGTTGAGTAACATAAAATAGATCTCCCGTTTCTATCTACCTATCGTATACCGTCTGTTGGCAAAACTACTGGGCTGATGTAATTTTAGATGTATTTTAAGAATATCATCTAGATGGTAAAACGCTAACCAAAATTTGTCTAATCATTTCCACCAAATATTTGATGACGTTCTCTCAAATTTTTCAAAGTAAATGGTATTCAGATTTTATAAAATACCATACTTCTACACCTGTCGTTTATAAATTCGCCTTTATCTTGACCATACAAATTCAGATAAAGAAAAAATCAAAATTGTTGCGAAAAACTCAGTGACTCATCTCAGTTTATTTTATTTTTTACACTACCAGTATTATATAATTGAAACTTAGTATGTTTGTTTACTTGTAGTTTAACACAGTCGACACATATCTTTATTTTAACTTACAGAGCTCATAATAAAAAATAAAGAAAGCTTTCCAGATAAAATTTTCGCCCCTACTGCAACAAAGTACAACTTAAATAATACTCGTAAGTTACCAGAATAACCCACCCCTTTTGCATTTACCCGCGCTCACATTATGCTCGCCACCTCTGTAACATTTTCTGTACCGAACAAACGATTTTCCCTCTATGCACCAAAACTTGTCTCCATTATTCTCGTGGAACAATAGTTTTAAAATCAGAATTCATGATGTTTTTGCGAAAGTTCTTCCCGGATTGCAACTTTGCTTTGCAGCGCTCGACGACAAACAAACTAAGCAGTGCCTTTGTTTATTATCTAAGTTGGAGCAAGCCAAACATGATTTACTCACATCATAGTCCTCCTGTTGATCCTTTCCTTCTTGTTGAGGCTGCTGTGCTTGAATGGCAGGTCGGTAACCCGGACCTGCAGGAGCGGCGTATTTAACTTGAGTTTGCTGGGGCAAAGCTCTCAAATAGTGCGGTTGTGGTTGCTGAGGTGCCGGTAATGCTATAGGAATGGGCTGGATCTGTCTGCCTAATGTCTGGGACGTGACCTTTCTCTGGGCGGTGTCGATCAGTTGCTGGACCTGCCCTTGTTGCTGGGCTGCTTGCACTTGTTGCAGGAAAATGGGGCTGGCGGTTTGGGCCACCCTTTGAATCTGGAAGATGCGAATTTACCAGTAACAAAAATACAGTGCTTTTTAATAAATGTTGTGTTTGCTGTTGTTTTTTTTTTTAACTTTCTATCTAACTGAAAGCGACTTCTAGCTTTTAACCTTACCTTAAATGTCAGTGTCATTTTTTTAAACGGAATTCAATAATATAAATCGGATTTTTTTTCGAATAAAAAAATTGCCTTAATAGTTGCGTTAATGCAAATTTGGTATTATTATTGGATATTATAGACAATATGATTGGTGTTTCTATACGGAAAATTCAAATTACGGTTATGCAAAGTCAACCTGAAACTGAGTCCTAAGGCGACAAATTTGATCTACGTAAAAAATGAACGATTAATTTTACTTTCAGTTAACTACAATCAATCAAGTTTAAAACAAAGAACAGCTTTTATTTAACAACCGGTGCTCCGAGATGTAAGATTTATACTTCACGGTAACAATGAAAGGATCGAGTAAATAAATTTTCTAGCAAATTCACCACATTTTAAGTCACAACAACGCTCTGGTTAATACTATACAATATACTTCAAAATTTATTTAAGCTTCATCTAAAAGTTGATAAATTGAGTACATCATAAAGATTTTTTTTAAACAATTTGTCCAGTTAATTTTATAAGTTTAAAAATAAGATTATCTCCACTTGTAAACCATTTCTAAGGAAGAGTGCTAATAATATTTGTATTAGTAAAAGTATTTGTAACAGTTATGTTTTTAAATTCCTATCAGTGAAAAGTTTTTTAAGCTGCCGCTTCCTAATATTATGCAACAACAGTAATAATTCTATCAGAACAATCATAATAATACAGGCAAAGAAATTCGATATGATATTACGGATTTCACACTGAAATGTCTTTGATCTGTGTAATCTAAATTTACCGGATTCATATCGTTTTTAAACTATTCAGCGATGATATTTACGTTTCGTTTAGCATACATTTTTGTTTGTAAAGCTACGACCTTCCTGTAGGCTAAATCAAAAGTATAATAATTTTATCAACAATGTAATGAAATAACCAGAAGTAATGTCACCCAACTGACCCATGTTGTTATTCTACTAACAAACCCGTTATAAGTTATATTACATTCGATGTGATCGCCTCTTGTTCACGTTAATAAACAAATTAAATCTTAAACAAGCAATGAATTATTTATACAGCTTTCAAGGCATAGTCTCGAAATTTAATCGTGCTTTGTGCTTGTAAAACGCGTTGTTTTAACACTTTGTGTCGTTTAGTTTGATTCTATGTTAATTTTGCATATAATATTCATTCATGGAATTAGTTAAATAATAAATAATGAACTAACAAAATATAGATTCCAGGATGCCACACGTTTTCTGTTTCCTTATTTTTATACAGTTGACAAACTTACGTTCCTATCCACATTACTCATCAAAATATGTGTATTTATACAGTAGGTCTCTAAATTATTCTTTAAGTGCTTTTTCAGTTCAGTTTTAATTAAAAGAGACGATTTCTTTTTAAGTACTTCCTGCTTCCCCTTTCATGTTTTCTCGACGTTTCATGACCTCTAGAGTACGAAAAAAAGGTCTCCCGTTTCCGTCTGTCTCTCTGTCTCTCTGTCTGTGTGTATCGATTTTTATTAAAGTGATAATCTGGAAACTACTGGACCGACTGTTGTCAATTTTTTACGTATATTAGGAATAACATGTAGAAGGTAAGATGCTAACCAAAATTTCGCTAATCGTCCCCACCATCAATGGGATGATGCGATCTTCAAAATTTACAATAAATTTTTTTTTTATTAACCTTGGACCAATTTTTTAAATATAGTAAAAAAGTAAAAATAAAATTTAACAAACTCATCTTTTAGAGCAGGATAAATTAAAGTGTTCTCTCTATTGAGTTTTCTGTTTTTGAGCCACAATATACAAGGTAAATTTTTATAACAGAATGTCTAACTAATCTAATTAATTAAAATCTAATAAATCTTAAATTAATTAAACCTTAGTATTTTTTAACTTAGAAAATTCGGTTAGCAATCTAAAGGTCTACAAAAGATTGCAGCAGACCAGCAGAGTCATTTTTTATTATGTTATAACATTTTATAGGTAAATAAACAAAAATATGTATTATGTTGTAGTATTAATAAAATTGAGTCTTAATGTACGCAGTATTTAATAAAATATGTATTTTCTTGTTAGATCTCACTGTTTTTTTTTTTCTCCATCTCTTCATAATTTGGTGTCTGTTAAATAACACAAAAATCACAGGAAGTAGTATAGAAAAAGCTTAACAAAAGAGAAAGAGAATAAAAAAAAGTAGAATAGGACGCAATAACCAAAATATGTAAAAAAAACTGAGCCTCTTTAAAAAAATTGTCTAACCTTATTCAGATAGCCCTTCTCTAACTCCTGAAGTAAAGTCGAACAAATGCAGCTTCTTCGAAAAATTATAAAATTTAATTTAGCGAATTTTATTTTTTATGATAACCGCAGTTAGTTAAAATAAAGCTGTGTGTGTACTATACTGTTAAACTACAGGTAAAGGAGCATGTTATGGCGTATATTTGAAGTGAGTTTTCCACAATAAAATTTTGTTATGACGTCATTAGCATCAACACGTACATCAATTTGAACAAGTGCAGTGTAATACTAATAATACCAGTACTGTATCCTCCTTTCCGGAAAATAAGATAAACCACTCGTGATTCGATCAATAAAAAAACTTGCCGCCTGCCGGGTTCAACCCCATGACCTCTCATCTATGAAGCAAACTACGGCTCCACTAATGGACTACGGTAGCTGTTATACGCTTTCGTATTACCAGTCTAAATATACTGACCACCTTGCAATATTTCGCAAAATCACTGTAAAGATTATTAAATTAACTAATAAGTGTTATTTTATTGAAAGAAGCATTCACTGTTGACACAGGATGTACAAATTAGCTAAAAAAAGAGACAAATAAATACAAGTACTAGCTAAAATACTACTCCCCTATTTTTAAACAATTAATAGTTTTATTCTCCATTATTCATTATATTGTTTTCTGTATTTCGGGACACGTAGACATAAAAAGAAGAAGAGAATTTTTAAACTAGTTTTGCGAAAGATTTCAGGGTGGCCCGTTGTTTTTGCCGGTCAGTGTATAATGATAATAATAAATAAAATGAAGGTAGATTTGTAAACCACAAGTACAAGAGTATATTATTCCATATTCCATTAGGTGGGGTTGGTGCGGATGATTAGCCATATTTTGGTTACCATGGTATAGATGGTAAAACACCAACCAAAATATTCCTAATATATATTCGTACAAAATTTGACAGCAATCGATTTCGGAATTATACATACATATGTCTAACAATAATAAACCACATAGACCACTATTTTAGGGTTCATGCAACATCGAAAAAACTTAAAAGTATCTAGTCGCTTACGCTTGGAAAGTAAAAATATAATATTTTGGTTTTTTATAAATATTCTCTACATTAATATAATATATTACAACACAGATGTCAAAAATGATCATGTGATTTTGTATGAACCTTTGTATTGCCAAAATTTCAACAGAAGTGGATCAAGTTAATACACTTCGGAATTCAAAAAATAATACCATGTTTTTCTTTTATTTGATACAACCCCTGTATTTTTTTTTAATTTTAAAGGTAAATATATAGTTCTTTAAGCAAATTTGTATCATTTTAAAAGATCACTTATGTGAATAAATCAAATGAGTGTCAATTTTTCAAGCTACTAGGTTGACATTAATAAATATGAATTTTTCATCTGTTTTATTGAATAACTTTTTAAGTATTGATTTTATAGTATTGGTTGCTTTTGAGTTTTTACAAAAAATCAATCTTCCCATATTTATAAAAAAATATACCTAGTGTTCCTTAAAAATAATAAATTTGACATCATTTCCGGTTTTACCGGAAGTGATAATAAAAATTTGACGTTACCATCACATACATCTTTTAACATGAAACTATAGAACTATAGGTTTATGTTTAAGAATAAAAAAGTCACAACGGTTGTATCAAATAAATGGAACACCCTGTATATGGTCATCCACACTTGAGATCTTAAAACAAAACGCTTTGTACAGTTTTACATAATTCATCCCAAAAAAACGTACAATTTTAGTTCGTAATTTTTACTTTCGTAAGCTAAGAAAATATTGTAATCTAGTCCATCGTCCGGTTCCCTACTTTTATATTTTCTCGACCTTTCATGACTCCTACAGTAAGAAGAAATAGATCTCCCGTTTCCGTCTGTCTGCGTCTGTCCCGATTTTTATTAGAAGGATCGTCTCCGAAACTACTTGAACGATTGTTGTCAAATTTTTTATGTATATTAAGAATATCATATAGATGATAAAACGGTCACCAAAATTTAGCTAATCATCCCCACCACCAATGGCACGACGTCATCTCCAAAATTTACAATAATATATTTTTTTAATTGTATAAAATAAGATACTCTTGCACTTGTGATGTATGAATTCGTGTTGAGTTTTTACCCTACACATCTAGGTTTTTGAGAAAAAAAAATCAAATTTGTTTTTTAAAACCGAAATTTTGCAAACGTTTTAAGATTATCGTAGTGATAGTTTATTTTTACTTTAACATTACATACATCCAGTGGCGGGCAAAATAAAGTAGGACACTCTTGAAAGACTTTTTTCTTCAATAAATTTAGTAGTGTAAGTTGGACTCAATTGAATATATATCCATTACCACTGACATTTAAATGTCAATACAAATTTGAAAGTTGCACTAAGGAAAAAACATGCTTCATCAAATTTTATAATTTTTCGAAAAAGCTGAGTATATTTTATAGTACTTAGGGGCGAGGGGAGTTCTGTCGAATAACCTTCTATCAATTTTTTTCAAAGAACACGCTCTCTTCTTTCTTTATTTTCCATACAGTGAATTTCTCATTTTGTTTTCTTTTTTTTTTTACTTTGTATCTACATCTAATGTAGATTTATTTATATTGTTTCCTGTAATTGGGTGTTGTTATAACAGTTGAAAATAAATCGATTATTATTATTATTAATATTATTATTAGGGGCTCAATATACCCAGTGAGCCACTAAGACTAGGTACTGTCCTCGATATCTTATTAATTTTATTAGAGACAAGAAAATCATCGAATAAGTTGTACGGCTCTTTAAGTACCTACACCATAATTACCTTCGACTATACCGAATGTTTTGTTTTTGATCCATAGCACAAACTTATTTTTTAAAATAGAAAACCCTACATATTTTTATATATGCTCATTAGCCTTTATAACTATAGTTTATTTTGAAGTACCGATGATAAGTTATTCCTATATTCTTGAACTACTTTTTGCAATGCAAGGGTTCACAAAAAATTGCAATAATATTACTTTTAAGATTTATTTTGCAATAGTTTATGAAGTGAGAAGCAGAATTATCACTTTGCCGTGGCATCAATTAAATCAAATTTTACTACAGAGTGTTTACAAAAAAAAACTCTGAAACTTTACAATTTTTAATCGATATTTCAATTTTTTCAATTAGAAAATCACGTATTTTATCACTGCATCTTACTCTATTTTTTATTATCTTTTTTCAGTATGTCGGTGCGCCTCTCAAAAAATGGTAAATTATATATTCGTATAGCAAATACGAAAAATAAATTGAACAATAAGTAGAATTAATGCAGTAATAACATACGGGGTGCTCTGTTTGAAAAAACTGCATTACAGTATTTAAAAATTCTAATAATTTATTTTTTGTATGTATATTAAGACTCAAGATTTTAAAAGTAATAAATAATTTTAAAAATTAGAAATAAGATGTAAAAATATATGGTGTATTTTATTTAAATTAAACTAAATAATATTAACTAAACTAAAATTGTAAGTTACGCCTTAAAAACAGAATACTAGTACAGTTGAAATTAATTTTAGTTTATAGTCCCCAAAGAAGGATTCAGTTTTAGTCTTCGACTTGTTTTCCTATTTATAATAGTTAGATATCGAGAAATCGAGGACACCACACTTACTGACTCACCCTGTATATTAACTCGTACTTGTGAACTGTTTGATAATGCAAATCCTGTTGCGTAAGCAAAATAAAGAAAATTATCGAGCAACGGATTGCGATCAACAAATTAATTCTAATGAAGTATTCTAATTTTTTTATAAATCTATATTTACCGCTTATGCTGCTGTCTCATTTTATTCCACTTCCCTTTACTGTCTGTGATGAAAGGACCAAGAAGAAATTAAATGAGTTTGAAGGGAAAATTTAATTTGATATTTATAATGAAATCTAACATGACAAATCAAATACAAGTTAAAATTTTTGGTAATTATTATTTAAGCCCACTTATTATTTTAAACTGCAATTTTTCCCGAAAAACAGGTGTAATAGTATGAGTTTTTTGGAAAAACGGGTATAATTCAATTTTTCTCAATTTATCTAAATTAAAAAATATATAAATATGTTGTAGATAAAATATGCGCTTTAGAGAACGTGAATAATGTTTTTTTTCAGAAATGATATCAAAGTTATATAAATTTTCCCCAGCAAAAATTGTTTTATTTTATTCTTGTTTGGAAATTATTTTAAATTAATCGTAACTAGTGACGTGAATCTTCATTTTCAAAATTACTCATAACAGCAACAATTAATTAATTAAGTATGTTTTGACAAAGACTATGAACATGAAAAATAACTTTTTTGGCACATTTAATTTAATTTAAAAATGATTAACATGTTAATTTTATAAACATAGTGTTGAGTTTTAAAAAGGTACAAAAACAATTAATTTCCAGAGTATCTACATGTCGCTCAAAAGTCAAACTAATGGATTTTTAATGTTGAATGTTGATCTGTTTTATAAACAGAACAAGACTTTGTAATGGATTATAATGTTAATGCCAAATATAAAACTTCACTCACGACCTTGCCACCCTCTAACCCCAACATTTGTTGTCACGCCTCCAACCCCACCTTGTGTTTAATAGTGCGTGAAGAAAAGCGGATTGTTAAACGAGGGATGCGTTTGAAAGAGAGCCATTATTACCTGTCTATCGACGTTGGTGGACAGCAGCACTTGCTGGATGGGCTGTTTGATCTGCGTGGAGTACTTCTGGAGCCCCGCACTTTTTTCGGCTTCGTACACTGGCTTAGCTGACGGTGCAGGGGTGGAAATGTATCCCGGCTGTAAATAAGCCTGAGGTTGCTGTCTGTATTGAACATTCGGTATCGCTTGTGCAGTAATATATTGGGTGTTCGGGTAAACCGGCTGCGAAACGGGATATGCGAAACTTCCCGTAACGAAAACCGACAATAAACAAACTGTTAATTTCATCTCGTGATCCAGTATATTCGCGCGCTAAATTCACCAGATAAGGCTGTAACAAGTGTTGATTATTACTAGTATTTATACGTTCGCTTGCCCTACTCTGAAGAAAACTTTCCTGCAACGACTATGGAGAAAGGAGTTGTGCAACAGTAGGGTCACCGTATTGTCGTTAGCGATATACTTTTTTTTTCTCTAACGCAACACACGACATGAGCTCGGGCTATTATAACGTGAAATATTCGTGATCGACCTGTCATAACACAATGCCTAATTGTTACCTAAAGTGGTAAAAATTGACAAACTTCGATATCGGTGACGTTTTTATAACCTAGCGATGGTTGCATATATTTTTGATTTAGTGGAGGAAAAAATTATCGGCATTTTTTATTCGAAAAGCGAGTCTACGTTATATCAGATATTTTTCTGCAAGAATAATTCAAGATTATTTATTCACATTACGCCGGATTTCCACCCCCGTTCGTTCACATTTCTTATTCAATTAAAAAAGTTCGGTTTCCAAAGTACATTCAAAATTTAATATACTTTATCCAACATGCAACAGTAAGTCATTTTCGGTTTTGCAGGAAATGCATTATTTCTTTCTTTTGTAGCGTTTGTTCAAATACTCATTTTTAAAATATGGTCTTCCAAAGTAGGCTATAAAGATCTATTTGACGAATGGCTAATTTCATATTTTGTAGCCACTAGAATATGAAAACTAAGTCCCTGTTTCCGTCTGACTGTCTCTCGTCTGTCGTAATCTGGAAATTTGCAAATAAATCTCATTTGAAATGTGCAGAACATTATACTTCTATGCATGTATTTTCTTCATATATTTTCGTATTTTTATTTCGCAAACACCCAAAGTACTTTCATGTTTTCTCAACGTTTCTTGACTCCCAGAGTACCAAAAATAGATGTCTGTCTGTCTGTCTGTCTGTGTGACAGATAATCTCCGAAACTACTTTTGTCAAGTTTTATATGTGATCTGAGAATATCGTGTAGATGCTAAAACGGTAACTGCTATTTGTCTAATCATCCCCACCAACAATTAAATGAAGTAAACTCATCTTTTTCCTAGTAACTCCTATTAGATTGTATAATATAACATACTCCTGTATTTGTCGTTTATGGATCCGCCTTGATTTTCTTCACAATTACTCTACAAAGATTTTTGTGCAATATTTTCCACAAGTGTCGCGTAGCTGATCCGTGGGTTAGGAGCATAATAGTGAACATGTGAAACTTGAGATTTGCTGGCAATAGTTCGAATCCCATCCTCGCCGACATTTTTTTTTTTTTTCTAACACATTGAATTCGATTGTTTGAGTTCACGTGCAGGGGAAATCTTGTCTAAATAATTTTAACTTTGACAAAACTTCCCTCGCTCCTGAAGTACAAAATTGAAAAATTAAAATATCGAAAAATTGAAAAATCGAGAAAAATTGAAAAATCTAAAGTTTAAAAATCGAAAAGCTGAAAAATCTAAAACCCGAAAAATCGAAAAATCCAAAATTTAAAATATTGAAAAATTGAAGAATCGAAAAACTGAAAAATTGAGAAATTGAAAAATTCCAAAAATGAAATGACGAAAAATTTGGAAATCGAAAAATTAAAAAATCAGAACGTCGAAAAATGTGAAAATAGAAAAACCAAAAAATCGAGAAACAGCAAAACTGAAACATCGAGAAACGAAACATCAAAAGATCGATAAAACGAGGAATCGGAAACTCGAAAAAGCCTAAAATCGACAACTTAAAATGAAAAAATCGATAAATCGAAAATTTTGATTTTTTTCGAAAAATATTCATATCTAGGATAAAAATTCAACATGGATTCATAAACTACAAATGGAGGAGTGTTATTTCATAAAGTTTAAATAAAATTTACTATTGTAATATTTGGAGATGACGTCATTCCATTCTTGGTGAGGATGAACAGACAAAGTTTGGTTAGCGTTTTACCATCTACATGGGATTCGGAACATACAAACAAAATTTTACTACAATCGGGCTGATAGTTTCGGAATATTTGTCTAATAAAAATCCAGAGAAACGACAAAGAAACGAAAACAGGAGATCTATTTTTTCGTACTCTAGAGATAATGAAACGTCGAGAAAACATGAAAGTATTCAGTCGCCCAATTGACTCGATTACAATGCTTCCTTAGCTGAGGTTCGATAAGTAAAAAATATTGAACCAAATACTATATTTAATTTTCTAAGTCAACGAGGGCCTAACTATTTTTTTTATTCCTGGATATAGTGTGTTCTATTATTTGTGGTATTATTAATAAATATTTATAAGAAATACTTCTACCTTTGTGGTTTCTTAATTATCCCTAATTTTTTACCTTAGGCATTTAAATTTTTGGAAAAAAATTTAAGTTGCATACACTACAAGCTAATTTTGAAACTAGAAATCCTACTGCTTTTTTAATTCTGCCTGTATTTTAACGTCATCTTAGCCATCCGAAATCACTAATCAAAATTCATATGTGCATTCTCTTCAAAATCTTAATGACGTCATCTCAAAATATCACTAAATAAATTGTTGCCGAAAGATACATTTTCAAATGCGAAGTCAGTAGTAAGAACAAAAAAAATGTTCACTGAAAAATTCTGCCCGAGTTGCCATATTATCTTTCCATGCTTTTTAATTTCTTATGACTCCTTACAGTGGAAACTATAAAAAATAATGTAGTAAACAAATTATTTTACAATTATGTTAAAACGGAGTTTTAAAAAAGTTAAATATACCGAACTCCTAGGCAAAAATTCTGCTTAAAAAAAATGTACAGAGTGTTCCAAAAATAACACATAAGTTGCTGCTATGTTGTTAAGATAACTCTGAAGAACTCGAAAATAATGGTTAAAAAAATCCCTGAAGCAAATTTTTAAAAATATTCAACTTTGTAATTCTGATACATTTTAATGTGACAGTTTAAATTCCAATCAAAGTTGTTAAAAATCACGTCTGTCAACAATAAAAATGACGTGGGTCCTATTATAGCATATTATTATAAAGTTATTAATAACTAATTATTTAACTGCATGTTAGACATACAGGTTTTAAAACTAATCAGAAAGACGAAGTTAATTTTTTAAACTTTTTTTTTTGTTTTAATATGGTTAATATTTACAAAGATGGAAGTGTTGATTCATAGAATTTTTAAACAATGTAAATTCATTGTCGTTTCTGCACATATATTGAACCATATATGTAAGTAATGTTACGTTGGACGGTGAATTAGAATCGGCGTGAGTAAAACTCAACAATTTATTTCTTAATAACTCGAATTACACAACTAACTATTTCAGCGATTATGTCCAAACTATTTCCGTCGCGACTTGTTAACATTCGATGGACTCGGTTCCAGTGAATAATAATCGTTCCCGAAGGTGGCCTCTATTTAAACCCATACTTCTGCGATCGAGGTCTTTCTCGAATATCCATCGCGACTTCCTCTCCCAGACTTTTCGAACGCCGCTTCGAGACTTCCGGTAACCGGGTCCAGACTTATCTTTATGTCACCGCCGCTCGGTCGTCGATGAGTCACCAATCATCGACACACATATAGTGAACCAAGAGTTATAAGGTTATATGGCCATCATAAAATCATCCCATTGTGTCGAAGTTAAGTTGTTTACAATAGAAAAGGTTTTAGGGTCGTAAATAACGTGTCCACTGCAGCTCGACCGGCTCTTGTGGTTTCGTTCAGGGGCGGCTTTCACTAAATATGAAAATCCACCACTCCACCATTTCTTTACTACCTGCAGCCGCTGAGGGTTCCGAAATAACCACTCGCTTTGAAAGCCGGCCCTGTTAAATATGAGCAAGAAATGTTTAGAAGATGATTTATTGCCAACCGGTAAGCTTAGTGCGAACCACACAAAGGGGGTATTTATTTGCGGTCAACTACTTTTATGATGGCCATATAACCTTATAGCTCTTGGTTCACTATACTAGAAAAACCCATAGGCGTATGGGTTTATTTCGTAACAGTAATTTTAAACACTTGTTATAGAATATTAAAAGGAAATTACACTACGATGTAATATTCTTCACAAAAAAGTTTTTCAAGTCGATTGGATACAACTGTACCATATATAGAGCAAGCTAAGATGGGAAAGTAAGCGTTAAATCTACAATTAGTGTATGCATAGTGGTTAAATTACTGAAGAAGTTATCTAACGTTTGTTGTTTAATTCTCGGATATATATTTATCCCAGGTTTGTGAAGTGAAAGGTTCAAAGAGCAAATTTTTACCTACCCGTCATACAGATAAATAAATAAAAGAAGGATACGACCAGCATTAGCCTTAAACATACTATCCTTATTGTTTGGTATTTATAAAGACTCTAAAGCGTCTAGAAATTGATTGTCATGTACTGTATAATTAAGACTGTGGTTATTTTTTAACTCACAAACACAATCTTTAAAATTTTTTAAAAGTTTAAAACTTGTAGCATCTAACCTTCTTGTTTTGTTATTTCTAATCAGTAACAATTATGTTTATTTCATAATTTCCGACTTTCTGTTTCCTTTGGACTGTTAATAAATAATAAGACTTTGTCAGTCAGTTTCCACAAACTTGTTACCAAAAGTGATAAGAGAGGTAAACAACCCGTTAACTCCTGTGGCAACATTGTTAACCCTTAGACTTAAATTAATGTTTCCACTTCAGTTGTACCAAGATACTAGCGTTTGTGGAAAATTTGTAAATCAGCTAAATCGATGCGTGTACTTATCCCGGGAATTAATCACTATTTAATAACTTACTTTGTTAAACAACCTAGTTATTTTGTAAAACGATGGACTATTAATTTCGTTTATTAATATATAGTCTTCTTGTTCCATGTATGAGGCACATAAATTTTAATCCACACTGAAGGATTGTTGAATCAGCATGACTTATCGTAATAAATAATACAGAAATATATTCAGTTTGAAGGAATATGAAACAACAGATTTGAAGTATGTGGACGATATAACAAGTAAAATTTTTGAAAATCTTGAAAAAATCATAGACATAAATTCAAACACTCATCACTGTACATCC